ATGCCTGTAACCCCAACACTTTGGGAGGCCGAGGCAGGAGGATTGTTTGAGGCTGGGAGTTCAAGACCAGCCTGGGCAATATAGCAAGACCCTGTGCCAAAAAATAAAATAAAATAAGTATTAAAAAAAAATGTAAGTAAAATATCTTCCCCCAAAGATTCTGCTAAGACTTTAAAAAATAAAAACAAGATTGACCTAAATACTAGAAACTATACAAGAATATAATATTGAAATCTGGTATCTGACAACTTGTTCTCGTTTGAATATCTGTTTCTCAAATGCTACTTTTTGTCAAATAATTTTTTAAATGACTGATACCGTATAGCAATTGAATTGCAATTACTCAGTAGTTTCTATATTTGATATTATATTCCAGCTCATTTCTCTACATTTCTATGCTCTATTAAGCCCATTTATATATGAAAAATGCTTTAAAAATGATCCTTTTGTGATCACTGTCTCATGTGAGCTCTTTTCAGATGCTTTGCATTCAGAATAGACCTCTGAGTTGGGACCGAAGCTGTCAACTGATCCCAAATTCCTAAGTTCCTGACTTGCAGGTATGTCTGGCTCCAAGATAGCCTTTATAGAGTATGTCACGGGGAACATAAAATGAAAGCATTCACTCTCATTGTATTTATGTATGTATAGATTGAGTAGTTCTTTGCTTTGCACCATGAATGATACTAAAGTGGAGATGAATTCTATGTCCTTTTGAATACTGCCTTTCAGGAGCTTAGTCAGTTGAAACTCCAGTTGAAAGTCAAGGCACAAATGTCATCGATAATGTCATAAGAACTGAATTACTCTTTTAAAAGGAAGACCTAATAGGACTCTTTGTAAATTTTAATAATGAAGTATATCTTACGTATATGCTATGCTCTTTTCTGCACGCACGTTCTATTTCACAATAAGTAAATGAGAGTGATATACAGAAGAGTATGTGAAATGTGTACTTTTAAAGAAGAAGAATAGAGTGGACACCCACCTATGCACCACCCAGACTGGGAAATAGAACATCACCTGAACCTTTGGGTCTCTCTGTGTCCCTCCCAAAAGGCATTGTTCTCCTAATCTCTACCAAGAAGTAGCTTTCTGTTGACTTTTGTATTAATCATTCCCTTTGCTTTAAAAAAAATTTTCAGGTGCCCCTTATATTTGATCCCTAAGTAAAATAATTGTTTATTTTTTAAAAACTTAGTAGCAGGTACAAAATTAGGTGAATAAAGAAAAGACAATATTGCCAGTGTATGACAAAAGCTTTTCATTTTTCATCTTTTTCAATTTCTCATCTTTTCATTTTTCTGATTAATACGTTTCCTGCAAGTTGCTTTTTTCAATTTGTTCTAGTCTCTATCTTTAATGTAAGAGGCATTTTTGTTTGTTTTTAAATTTTTGTTGTGGCTGCTCATGATTAAAGGGTTGGGATTAAAAGCTGATGAGAAGCCTTAAGCACACAAATGAGGCTTGTCACCTGTAAGCCTCACTGTAGTACAACCTGGGTGGCATGTCAGATTCTTGAGAGAACGCCATAGCAATCAATGTATCCCTGAGGGGTGAGGGTATGGCTGCCGGCCTCCTCGAAGCCAAGGTGGGGAAGCAGGCTGTGGCCCCCTTCAGCAGTGGTCAGTAAGCAATCACTTATTCCCCTGCTTTCTTGTTCTCAAACATGCTGGTGTCTCCCGGTCCAGAGATGCTCTGTTTCATCATTTCCTGAGAATAAACCTCTAGACAGCCCGTAGGACGGGAGGACGGGAGGGGCAGTCTTGCATCTCCTAGTGACTGGGAGCTGGAGGAGTGACCTAAGGCAGCACTTCTCAAACTTTAATGTGCATGCAAATCACCTGGGGATCTTGTTAAAATGTAGGCTCTGATTCAGTAGCTCTGGGGTGGGGTCTGACATTCTGCATATCAAATGAGTTTTCTGGTGGTGGTTATGCCAGGGTAGGATCACACTTCAAGTAGCAAGGACCTAGGAATTCTAACTGTTTATCTAACAGCTTTTCACCTACTCCTTCTTATTTCAGCTGTATTCCTTACACACACACGCACACACACACACACACACACACACACACACACAAGCTGAGTCAGTTACTACTGGCTCATCTGCTTTCTGGCTTCCAAAATAGTGTTGCTGCCATCTTTTCCTCTTCCCTCCATCTTTACGAGTTTATGTGTTTGACAAAATTCTTTGGTGTTAAGGATTTTCAGGAAGAAGCAAAATTAGATGTGTGTATTCTACCATATTAACCCTAACCATCTGCTAAAATATTTTCCTGAAGTTTGGTTGTAACCAAGTAAATAAAGCCTGTTTCCTTGTAAATAACCACTATTTAGGCCTCTAGGTCTTTGTAAAAGGAGTATTACCTACTTCTCCCTCCTCCTTTGTCTGCCTGCCAGATTCTTACAAAATCTTCAAGACCCAACTCACACAGCTGACTTCTGTGAAGCCCATTTTGGTCTCCAAGATGTTAAAGCTTCTTGGCTCTCCTGACTCTGAAACCAGATGCTTATTCAGTATCTCTCCCAAAAGGCTGTGAGCTCCTCAGACATGGGGCTTGTGTCTTTGTAGCTCAGTGCCCAGCACATATCAGGAGCTTGTAGATGTTTAAGAATGAAATTTCTGCCTGCATGCTTACTTTTCTCTTTTTTCTTCACTTTCTTTCTGCTCTCTTCGTCTCTTCTTTCTTTTGGTTGTTATTAGATTTGTTATCTATTCTGTTATCAAATAGAAATCCATTTCCCATAATCTTAATTTTAAAAGTAAATAGGTAGAATAAACAATAGTTTTCAATTTCCAAAAACTACTGA